ATTTGGATCTTCAATACTTACAAACTGAATTCAAAAGTGTTAGTTTTACTTTAACGATCAAATGAACTCAGAATTTATAAAATTATAATTAAAACATATTTTTTAAAAGAAAATTTCAACATCATTCACGACAACCACTTTGCTCTTGCTTTCGTCAAAGGTCGTGATCGTGGGCATTACTCTCGTGGCCGTGGTCGGTTTAGCTTTTACAACTCACTGAAGTTTACCATTTCCTCACCATGAACTATCGTTGAATGCCAGATTTGTGACATGCTCTTCTCGCTGACACAAACCTTACAAATCCTCGGTATCTAGACAACAGAGCAATTACCTATTTAACTCCATATATACAACACCTTCAGTATCCACAATACACGTATTCATATTTAACCTTTTATATGGATGGAGGTGGTGAGTTTATCAACCGAACACTTCATTTATCTCTCTCATATCATGGCATTCATCATCAATACAAGTGTTAATATACACCATAACAAAATGACATTATGAAATACAAACTCCGCCACCTCATTGAAATCGTTTGACATTACTCATTCATGCCCAACTACCTCCATAATTATGGGTTGATACTCTCGTCATAGCAGTCTACCTCATTAACATATTACCATCACCTACCACATCCACTATCTTCCCTTTTCCATGCATATTCTTGGCTATGCTATCAATAAAAAATGCTATAAATGTTATAACCCATCTGCTGATCGCATTATTGTCTCCAGACATGTAAAGTTTAATGAATCCTCTACCCTACCAATGACTACATTTAGCCCTTATGCTACAACCCCACCTTCCTCCATAATTTATTTTCCTCCAATTATACATACTAACTCCACATCTTTTACACCACCTTCCTCCAACACTTCATTCATAAATTCACAAACAACAACATCCCCACCTACTTCTCCTACATTTGCTTCTAATTCATCTCTAAACTCTATCTCTACATCCACATCATCTTATGCTTCACCTACTTGTCACCATATTGTTATTCAGTTACAAAATGGCTCTCTCAAATCTTGTCAAAACTTGTATCGCTCTCACACCCTCTAACCCATTCAGACATGTGTTTCAACAGAAATTAAATTTTATGAGTGGCGCAAAGCTTTCTCAGATGAATCTCTTGCTCTCCAATCCCGAGGCACATGGATTATAGTTCCACCGCAACCTCATCTTAATATCATCAGCTGTAAATGGATATTTAAACTCAAATATGCACAACTCAGATGGTTCTACTGCCCACCACAAAGCTCGAATTGTTGCTCAATGATACATACAATAATATGGCATAGATTATCTTGAAACTTTCAGCCCGGTTGCAAAGTTTCAAATTATTAGATTGTTCCTTACAATTGCATTGCATTTTAGTTATACAATATTACAATTAGATATGGCTAATGCCTTTCTTCATGGATAACTCAACGAAACATTTTATATGTCCCAACCTCCATGTTTCAAAGATCCATAATTTTCTTATCATATTTGTTTACTCAAGAAAGCATTTTACGGACTTAAGCAGGCACCTCGACAGTGGTTCACTACACTCTCCTCCTATTTAACTACTCTTGGTTTTCATTCCAACTATGCCGACTCATCTCTCATGATCTACAACAACAACAATATTCATACTTACATACTCATCTATGTTGATGATATATTAATCACTAGCAATGATAACACCTTCATTTCAGAACTACTACATTATCTTTATGTAAGATTTAATATAAGGAACATTGGCCAGCTTTCTAGATTCTTTGGCATAGATATTACACTCTCCAAAGTCGGTTACCATTTAACTCAACATCGATACATTTAGGACATCTTATAGAAAGCTGGCATGCTCTCTTGCAAATCGATCTCTACTCTCTTTTCATCAAAAGAGATTTCATATTCTGCTTCACAACAACCATTAAACAACCTCACACTTTTTTGTCAATTAGCAGGAGCTCTTCAATACTTGTCCCCTACTCGACATGTCATTTACTTTTATGTCATCAAAATATGCCAACACATGCATAAACCGTTGGACTGTTATCCAAAAGGGCATCCTTTGCTATATACAAGGGACTCCAACACACAATCTACTCATCCAAAAGGGCATCCTTTGTTATATACAAGGGACTCCAACACACAATCTATTCATCCAAAAGGGCAATTTATAGCTAAATGCTTTCTCTGATTCAAATTGGGATGACGATACTCAAGACTATAAGTCCACTAAAGGATACTACATTTATTTGGGAAATACTCTTCTCTCTTGGTGTCTAAAATAAACTATAGTTGCTCGCTCCAATATAGAAGTTGGATATCATTCTCTTGCTGCGATAACAACCAACATCATTTGGCTACAACGGCTTTGCAATCATTTCTCCCTTTTATTAGACACCGTTTCACTCTTTTGTGACAACATCTTGGCTATGTCAATTGCAATCAATCTTGTTATGCACAAAACACATCAAAATTGATTACCACTTCATCTGTGAAAACAACAACAACAAAATTATAGTAGTCCAACATATTTCCACCAAAGATCAGCTCGCTGACATTTTCACCAAAGCTCTATCTACTACTCGTTTCAACTTCTTATGGGACAAATTGACAGTATGTTCCCCCATCAACTTGAGGGGAGATGATAAAGAAGTTCAAACAACTTTAGCTCCACCTTTCCCACTTCTCCACATAATATATCTGCACCATTTTTTAGAAGATGTGGAACCACTTCTCTGCTATATACCAGAGTCGTCCTTGCTCAGAGCATCTTTTAAGGACAATTTTATACTACTTCTATATATATGCATGTTGTTCGTCTTCGCCAAGTTTGATATAAAATGAAATACATCTACAACTTAAGTTTTGCTCTCATACTTTCTTCTTCCCAGTCTACTCTATTCTCCTCCATTATGCAGATTTGTGTATCGAGCTAGGGCATAACCAACAACAATTTTCATCAATGATATGAAATACATCATTTAGGTTTTGCTGATAAGCCATATGTTTATATTTAGGGTGATTAGCCCAATGCCAAATCACCATATGAGTAAAGATATAAATTGGGAATGTTCAATGGCAACTTTTTACTTTGAAGCTCACTATTGATAGCAATTACTCAAGCTAATTGGGTCACCAGCTTCAATCAAGTCAAGAATTCCCTTCAAGATGTCTTTTGAAAATTGATTTATCAATGTTATCTTGTCAGCTTGGAGTATATTGGCCCACACATGCATTAACCTTAGTCAACAATAGTAGCTCTTTCCAAATAAGGTTTACAATCACCTGCAAGGAGAAAGCAAGCAAAGCAAAAACTAGAGGAAGGAAAACTATTCTGAGGAGAACAATGGCTCCTGTGCTTGTTCCTTTCCAGCCGAATCAAAGGCTAATATAAAATGCCTAATACAACCTGAGTATAACGGCTAAAGCCTGTGTTAGCCGCAGTGGACAGAGAATATCAGGAAGTGGAGTATATACTGACATTGACAAATAATGGAACAAGATAAGTAAGATGTGCTGAGAGTATACTCTAACATCAAACATTGAGTATAAGCTTAAGCTTATTGGGTTAAGCGCGATATTGACCTTGTCGAGAGAGAGTTTGCAAGAGAAAGGTTATGATATTGAATATACAATATCTTTGATATTGAGAAGGGGCTTACAAGAGAGAACCAATAAATTCACTTGAGAGTGTGGCAGTCGTAATAAAATTAACGTTCAATTTTTCAAAAGCAAAAAAAAGTTCATAATATCATAATATTCTAATTCGCGAATTCCAAGTGTTGACTTTGAGCATCCAAGTTGCAGAGGTCTCGGCCCTTGGCCAATTAGGATTTAAGCTCACGATCATTTGGTCGACTAGGAGAATATAGACGGGAACTTCTCTCGAAAGTTCGCCAAGCGAGCTGACTTAAAACAAGCTCTCAGGTCGACTTACTGGAAGATCCAATTTTGGCGCTTGAAAGGGTGTTTGGCTTGCTTCCGACTGATTTTAAACCTATATGATCATCTAGGAGTGTCAAATTTTGAAACGACCCAGATTTGATTCGAAAAAATTTGAGTTCGGGTTGACCACCCGGTTAGCAAATGGGACGGGTTTGGGTTCGAATTTTTGACCCGTTTTAAAAAATGAGTCGGGTTCGAGTTGAGCCGGAAACCCAAAATCAACCAGACAATGACCTGAAATCAAGTCTGTCGAGTCCATTCGGACCATTCCGCCCGCACTCGCGACTCGCCAGACGCGCAGTCCTGCAGCTCTGCCAACCGCTTTTGGCCTTCGCCGCCAAACTCCTTCCACCGTCTTGCAGCCCCACCGACTGCCTTATCCAAACCCTAGGCTAAACCCTAAGCAGGTAGGCCACTGCCACCACCACTGCCGTTGCTTCGCCGCCAGTCTGGAAGTAGCAATGGGTCGGGTTCGGGTTGACCCATTTAGATCCTGATCAACTCGGATTCGACCTGAACCAGACCCTATATATATATATATATATATATATATATATATGCAGAAATGGTGACTTCCTTAAAAAAATGCTTATATTTGCGCTGCCATTTATCAATTATATACTGCGCATATAAACCCTTCATTAACTAACACACTATCCCATTTCCATACGCAATTAAACTGTTCCTCATTCCCCAAAGCTAAAAATTGGCCAAGACAGTAATCGAACTTAATATATCTAATGTGGTTCTGGTTTTGTTCTCACCAACTCTCCCAGCCTTCAACCAAAAAGGAGAGCGACGGAGGACTGAAAGGAGCTGTACTATAATTTTAACATGCAGGAAAAGATCGCAACTTTGTGTAGAAATCAAGAAATGTAGCGAAAGAAACAGGGGAAAACCTGTAGTTATCTCTACCAAAACCTTATTGATCAAGGCTCATCACCTCACCTAATATCTAAAACGACCTTGCAGCTATATCTTCCTGCTCTTTTTAAGCACTGGATGTCTTGTCATTACCCAGATGAACAAATTCATTCACTTATCAAAGGAAGAAGAACAGAGGTGGTGGTGGTGGTTGTGGAAGGAGCAGGTGGCATGGAGTCCGTTCGAGCTCTTCTGTTTCTAATTTGCTTGTTTCCAGTGCTTGCCAATGGCTTGACTCGGCATTACAAGTTCAATGTAAGTGTTTAGATAAGCATGGATGAATCGCTTGTTGTTCAGTTAAGCATTCCAGTCAATTTTTCTGGTGAAATTAATACAAAAGCTATTTACGCGCTTATGCTTTCAATATTATAATGTTTTAAACCCAAAAAAACTTTTGTAGAAAATATAATAAAAGGATATTATTACATTAACATTAAGGTTTATCACATAATTTTTTGTACTTATATCATCTAGCAATTTATTAAGGAAGTTGATGTAGTTCGACCGACATGGTTAGCCCATCGATGCCTTCGCCCAACAAGCTCATTTGTGGCTTCCACTTTTTCATCACACACTGCACTATTTGGTCCTGTTGATGCCATTGTTGGCGAGCTCTTCTATATTTTTCTTGCTTCTTTGTTGTCGAGGATTTAAGGAATTTTGGTAGGAATAAATGAGAGAAAACGTGAGTATAGAGACGGCGAGACGAGGGGCCCGATGGGCAAAGGGCAAGGGAGGCCGATGGCATGATGATGGAGTGATAATGATATGTGTTATTTTTTATATGATTGATATTTATATGAATCATGGTACAAAATAAAAGTTAGCATGGCTAGAGGAGTGCTAATAAAAATTGTACAGATTGTGACGAGAAAAACGACCCGGCTTTGCTCCACCAAGCCCATCGTCACCGTGAATGGGCAGTATCCCGGCCCGACACTATCAGCCCGAGAAGGCGACACCGTGCTCGTGAAGGTTGTCAACCATGTCAAATACAACGTTACAATTCACTGGTAAGTATTCAGTAGAACGCATTGCAGTTTCTTTATTAAAATTTCATCATAATATAATTGACTCCTCATCTGCCAATTTACTTTATTAAATCATCTACCAGTAAAGGAAGCAATCACCTACATATCATCTGAAGCATCTTATGCTTTTAAATTATAAGTGTTGGTTGATCAGTCATTCTGCAAACAAGGATTGTGTTGAACGTTTCTGATGAATTATCTGAAAACGCTTAGCTTCGTAAATCATAGCTTGCAAAATTTGTGTAGTTGATAACCTTTCTATTGATAACTATTCCATTAACAGATGAACACAAAATCCAAACATCAAGGGTTCATTTGGGACGATTTTTTATTGCTCATTAAAGCAACTTTTTAGTACAAAAAATTTAATTTTTGTAATAAAAAATTGTTTCAAGAAACAGTGAAAAAGTTTTCCTAAATGAAGCCTAAGATTGCAATCTCGGAAAAATGAAAAAAATTATGTGTCAAGATCTAATCTGATAGGTTCTGTTGAATTTTCTTAGAGTTTTGATTGAGTTCAATATGTTTGATGTTTTAGCGCTGCTCAAAGCTCCATAGCATACAAATAAGATATGCATGTCATTTGTCATGGAAAAATCCTAGAAGAGAAAAAGCGTTGTGCCAGGCCCAACTAGATCAGTCCACTACGTAGGGTGAAGATTATAAAAAATTAATCTTTCCTCAAATAAAAAATAGATAATTACTCTTTCCCAGAAACTCATGTAGGGACGCTGTCCTTTGACCTTGCGACCTAATCGGATAGGTCGAACCCAACGCTGACACTGTCCCTTTGGACCCCCCAATATATCTACGAAATGTACAATGATGAACAAATAGGAATCGATAGGCAACACCCTCAGAACTCATTGCTTATTTGATATATATTTTTAAATCTTCAAGTACCTTAATGACACCGGAATCAAATGATATTGGGCCCGTAAGATTTATCTTATCAAGATGTATGTTTCAACTATAAAATTATTAATCTGCGGACACAAGATACATCTTATCATCCAGAGGCGAATCAGGTGCAACTCCAATACCGAGCAGTACTGAGCTCGATACCGAGTAGTATCGAGCCGTGGTACCAAGTAGGGAATGACGTGGCACATTTTCATTGGGATTTGGAAGACGTTCGGCATCCGCATAGAATAATTCATCACAAAATTCTTGATTGATCTAATAAAATTTCTCATGATATATCAACTACATCATCACAATTCACCTCTAATTGAACCTTTGCTTAAATCTTTATTTCTTCTGATTAAATATAATTTCAATTTGTAGAACCCTGAGGCTAGCACCAAAAATACCTTAAAAAATCATGTCAATCTTTGGGTTGAATACTTCTTTAGGCAACTTTTTAGATAAAAAGTTAATTTTTTTACTAGAAATTTATTTTAAGAAGTAATAAAAAAATCATCATAGAGGAAGCCTTAGACATCTCCGGTGTCAGAAAATTTTTTTGGTAAGTATTATTTTAGAAAGAATTAAAAAATTTCTCCCAAACAAAATCTCAGATGACCACAGCTACAAAGTCCGGCCGTTCTCAAGTTCATAAAGTTAGATATTTTTTTAGTTAAATTTTTCAAAAAAAAAAAAAAAAC